ATTCAATATTTAGAGTATGCCCAGGGACATTTGGACCATATACCTAAATGGGTTAAACTTGATACACTAAGCATTATAAAATCATAATTTTCAAATACAGCAATATTAAATAATAAATACCAGAGACTGATATCTTATACCACTGATTAGAGACACTCCAAGACTTCAGTGATTTGGTTACAGCATATCTGTTTCTTAACGTTTATTAAATCATATAACCATCTTGCATGATTTAAGCAAAGGTATTTGAACAAATGGATAGTTTTTGAATAATTAATTTTATTTTCATTGATACATATTTTATGTAAGTTAAATCCAGACTATTAAAATTACACATTATATTATCCCCAAAATCCCAATAAATATTTATGAATGATATCGAAGTGCAACTATAAAATGTTTTTCTGTACATGTATGGCTGATGAATATAATCTACATACTAGTATAATATATAATGTCAACAATTGGGTAGACAGATTCCAGCCAAAAATCCAACACGGCAATGTTATAATGTTTCAATACTCAAACGTTAGCCAGAGCCATACCAGAATGACTTGCCACTTTTAAAAATGTACAGTACAGTCCAAGCATAACTTAACATTTAACCAGTCTTAATCTAAGGCAAATTTGTGTATTTTTGTGTACTTGTATTGAATGAGATCAGTCAAGGCATGTCATGGTTAAGATATGGCTCTGGAACAGTTTTTGTTAAAACAAAAAGAAACATGTCGCCTATCCACCAAAATACGTATGTAACAATAATAATTTCTGAAAGTGTTCTACTGGTGACACAATCCAGCTTTCTGATTGGATTAACAATGGGCTTGATCTATCAGGTCAAGGTACAAAGTTTCAAGTCAGGCATGAAAAAAAAAACACAAGGACATGGTTTTGCAGTACCTTTGTCATTAACAACAAAATTCAAGACAAAGAACATTACATTAAAATTAAAATCACTGAGTACTTTTTGTTATCACAGAGAAATTACAAGAAATTTGTTTTTTTCGACTGAAATTTTCAACTGTTCGTGACATCTCTTTTAAAACACAGGGACATGGTTTTGCAGTACACTTGTCAATACCAACAAAATTCAAGACAAAGAACATTACATTAAAATCACTGAGTACTTCTTGTTATCACAGAGAAATTACAAGAAATTTGTTTTTTTCGACTGAAATTTTTAACTGTTCGTGACATTTTTTTAAAAATCAAATCAAGGATTTTCACTTCTCGTCTGACACTTAAATTAGAGTGATGCCTAAAATTGCAATACTTATGGTAGAAAGAAGTACTGTAAATTACTTTATTTTAGCGGGAATAAATTTTTGCTGAAAAGGCTTTTGGGGTGTTTTCTATGGAATTTATTTTCACTGATTTCTGACAATTGAATGTAAAATATAGGAAAAAAAGTATATTTACTGACTTTTATATTAACTTAATCATTCCTTCTGTGAAAATAGCGAAAATTAATTCCAAACGAAAATAAAGTTATTTTACAGTAATAATGAAATAAATGCACCATTGTTGGTATGACCATATTAATTTGCATAAAATAAAGTTTTTCAATTTTCCTCCAAAATTTGGTAGGTATGTTACTGAAAACACAGAATTTTAAATTTTATTATTTATTTAACGAAAACGACCAATAATTCCATATTAAATTCAGAGATGATGATATAATAGATAGTGTGTCCATATCAGGCTTGTAGTCTTGCTTAGCTTTTTCACCACCATTTCCCTCTTTTCATCACAAATTCACAAAATAGTCCTGTTTATAGATTGCACTTCGGAAGACTGAGACAAAAATACCCAATATTTTTTAGTAAAAACTAAAAATTGACTCAAATGTTGTCAGTTGGTTTCAAAATTAGGATTTATTTTGGGAAATAGAGAATATAAGAAAAAATTTGGGCAGTTGGTCAGTTGGTTTCAAAATTAGGATATATTTCGGGAAATAGAGAATATAAGAAAAAATTTGGGTAAACAAGTCCGGTGGTGAAAAGGTTAGAAACCATGTTAGCCAATATGATGGTGTGGGATTTACTACTCATCAAATGTAGTAATGAAGGAGAATCAATTCTGCATATTATAATAGAGTTAAATGTTTAGTCTCAGCTGAAAAAATATATTTAATTAAAAAAAAAATAATGATAAATGTACAACTTTCTATTTTTGTTCATATTTATATTCCTTGTATTGAATATACCAAAAATCTTGGTAATTTACCAAAGAGAACTAGGTTTTACAAACACCATAATTCTTTTAGAAAATATGGTGTTACATGACTATGGTGCATATCATAGTTGTGATGTTTAGTGATAAATATCACTAGCTGATTTGTCACAAATATTATGTTTAGCGTTATCAGTTTATGCATGTGTAAAGAGTACACGAACAAATTATGGCTGTATTGCTTTTCATTGTACAAGAATTTTAGGCCGATAACAACAATTACCAGTACAAGAAAGATTCCAAAACATTAGCTTGTAATGTTAACTGCAAGTTATTTCGGGGGAAAATATCAATAGAAAGTTTATAATTTTACTGATTATTAACAATCATCAGTTCATCAGTGAGTTCAGACGTCATGTCATGATCTATCGGTATAAGTCTATGAGTTGAAATTATGATTTCTTTGTCTTTTTTGGCACTCAAAGTCAGTATTGAGATGACAAGGTTATAACCCCTGATAGGTTTGGTTATAACCCCTGTTATCACTCGTTTGTAGAGCTGGTTGATACAATCACTGTGCTATATCCACTCACCTTTGGTTTGTGGATAGTGCAAGCCCATGACGTCACTCATGTCAACAAGTTCTACCAACAACTGGTATCAGGTCATATTGTGAAGCAGATACATGTATATAAGGGATACTCAGTAATATGCTAAAAAAATTGTGTCTCATCCAACGATCACATCAATAATGTGGTGATATGCATTGTCTTTTTTGTGTAACTTTCATAAAAATTAATGTTTTTATTTGTTTTTTACAAATATCATAGTAAAAAAGGTATTAACCAATTTCAAACTGCACTGTAGCATAATGACGAAACCAAATCTAGTTATGGTGTAATAGAAGTGCATATGAATTTACTATTATGTATTGACACTATATTTTCTCTATTAGTAGTAGCATATGTGCTTTCTGGTAAAAACAAATTCTAAAATGATCCATCATACAGTAGAATTTTAGGTTCATGGACATTATTGGAGATGTGCTTCTAATACAGCAATTACAGTAGTATTTCTTCTTATTAAAACAGAAATGACATATATGTACTGTAGCTAACAGGCATTTTAAAAGAAGTGGCAATTTCGTGATGCAATTAATTCCCAAACCCACAGGCCATCTAAAGCATGTAGGTGTCACTCCCTGAAATAAACAAAGCCGGCACAGTTCAGTCTTTTTTTTTTAAAATCAACAATGTTTAGTTTTTTTTGCTGGTATACCTGTTCAGACCAGATGGGGGAAAATGTACACTGGGACAATATTAATTCATTTTTTTGATAACGCAAAGTAATTGTTTACAACAGAAATAATTCTTAAAAAAAAAACTGTATATTTTTTAATTCTTATTTTTTAGTATTATTCATGACCATAAATTGTATATAAATAGGATTGAGTTTAAATTTTATTATTCTTTTCAACCGTATATTAACATTCAAAGAAGAACTAGAAAAAAAATGAACAGAAAAGACTGAGTAGAGAGAGGTTTGACTTAGTGACATGAACTTACCGGTAGTGTGCAAAATAACAGATTTGTACTAGCCTACTGATCTATAAAATAGTGAACAGCCTGTTTTTGAGTTAGGCTACAAATTATTAAACATTTTATGTTTTGCAGTAACATAATGTTGTAATCTATACTTACAGTAGATTTGTTATTCATATTTTTACATACACATGTGCATTTATATAATTTGATTTATTTGAATGTTATTAAGTTATACAACTTGTACAAGGCAGAGCGGAACATGTAAATTTGCAGTGATGTAGAAATCAGTCGGTATAGGCAAACAAAATGACCACCTAATACTGGCTATATTTTTAGAAGTGAAAAGCCAAAAAATGTTTATAAATGTGAACAGACAACATTTCTAATTCCTATTCCTACTTGAAAACAAAACTACACATTTTACCGTGTGGTTTCTACTGTAAAATACTTATTTTTTTTTTCACAGATTTTCATTAGTTGAATGTAAAATGTAGGAAAAAGGTATATTTGCTGCATTTTATTTTCACTGAATCTTCCCTTCAGTGAAAAATATTGAATTTGACAGTAATATACAATACATAATTGTGATTTTTTTTTATTTCATTATTAAATTTATGCACAGTTAAAAGTAAATAAATTATAAATTACGCATATATAATTAAACATTACATTCAGAATAAGGTAATATGGGATGAAATTATTAGGCTAATTAAAAAAAGTTCCCGTGGCGTCTAAAGGACAACTTTTGATAGTGTAAATACGAAAAAAGAAAGTTATACTAGTATACTGTAATGTTTATTCCTGAAATTGGACCTAACTTTGAGTTGGACTGCTTTGATATTAATTAAGGTTTGAGCCAATTTGGTCACTAAATATTCCAATTATTACTTGTAATTAAATTTAAGTTACTGTGGGTTGCGGTTAGAAACACCGCAAAAGTGAATAAAAAAAAAATTCGAATATGCTATGTGTGAAAGTTACATTGTAATATGAGGTTAATACCCGAAACGACAGGAATGCAGTGAATGTACGCAGTTTCTCGCCACGTACGCACGTACACATGAAGAAAGAAAAAATACTGATTATAATACGTCGGGTGGGGGTCAGGTGGTGGGGCTGGCGCGGTGGAGAAATTGTTCTAAACAACAATGAGATCACGGAAATACGGGGTATCCAGCGTCCGGGTTCGTATTCACCCCAAGGATGCACCAACAACAAGGCCGGTTTGTTGTTTACAGCCAAACTTTTCAAAACAACTTGAAAGTTCAAACGTCAAATACTTACTGCTGAGGTTCTTGGCAGTGTCGTCTCGAAATGGGATGATCAACAAGGGAAATATTCCACTTAACCCGACAAATATCGTGCCAACAATCGAATAAATCCAAACTTCGAGCCTTGAGTTGGAACTTGTGTTCATATTTTCCTGGTGTTCGACAGAAGCTTGATCGGCGGACTGTGCGACAACTTTCCCCGTGTGTTTCGCTCGATGTATCTCACCGACGACTGAACAGCAGAACGCTAGAGTCATCAGAGAAATAGCGATAACACCCGTGCGTCCTCCCATGGCTACGACTCGCCGGTAACTAATCAAATGCCTTGTTTCCGTCAACTCCGCGGCAATGATGAAGACCTTCAATCCCCCTTCGCGGATGCTCTGTCCTCGTTTGACTCGGAGAAAAGCTATACTTCAATAGTCTCACTGTTTGCGTGAAAAGACGATAATCACGCATGTGAAAGTTTATATTGTATCGTTGAGGGCGAACGCTAACACACTGATAACTTCGGTTGAATACTGAAAATCAATACTCAGGCTTCACTACACTTATTTTTCATTACACTTCGTTCATTTATTCATTCATTCATTCAATAATGATGGAAGTACCAGAGATGCGACAATTGTATGG